GAAGTACTTGGACATTTGTTGTCCATTCAACACTGTTTTGACAAGCTGAGTAATATCTTCACCAATTATGCACCAAGCTTTCTGGAAGAAAAGCCCACTGAAACCATCAGGTCCACGAGAGCTATTGGGGTTAATACTACTAACAACTTGTTTTATTTCCTCTATGGTAGGATCTCTTATCAGTATCTGATTGTCTTGCTCGCTAATGCAATTAGGGATGAGGTCAAGCAAGCTATTATCCACCCTATTTTTTCCTTCAGAAAACAAGTCATGGTAAAACTCTGCAGCAGCAATGTCAATGTTATCATCCCCCTCAATCCAATTTTCATAAACTTTAATTCTATGGATCTGATAGCGATGGAGTGAAAGTATCTAGTGTTCTCATCACCCTCTAGGTTCCATTTGAGATTTGCTTTTTGTCTCCAAAAGGTATCTACATGCTTGTGATGAGTGATCAATTCTGCTTTTATTCTATTCATGTTTATTCTGTCAATAGGATCCATAGATTTCATGTACTTTTCTTCACTTTGTTCAGCCTCTTTCTCCAGTTGCTGAGACTTCTCAAAGATATTTCCAATTTTCATTTTAGACCAATGACTCAAAGCTCTACCAGTCATCTTCATTTTCTGATGAACCTGCCAAAAAATATTGCCATCTGATTGAGAAATCTAGTTTTCCTGACTACATCAAGAAAATCATCAAAGTTAGGCCAAAAATTTAAGAATTTAAAATATTTGTTGTGATGGTCAGCAATATTGCCAAAGTTCATAAGCAAAGGACAATGATCAGATCCTACTCTAGGCAAATGGTGCACACTACTCTGAGAGAAACCATCACTCCACGTAGTGTTGCAAACCATTCTGTCTAATCTTTTCCAAATGATGTCCTTACCACTTCTTTCATTACACCAAGTAAAGTCACTACCTGTGTATCCAATGTCAGAAAGTGCATAGTCATTTAGACATTCCATGAAGGCCATACTTTTACCTAGCGTGTGTGGTATGCCCCTTAGCTTTTCTTCCCTGCTTAAAATACTGTTGAAATCACTTGTGACAGCCCAAGGATGGTTGATGACGGAGGCAAGAGCTCTCATGTACATCCAGAGATCTTCCCTACCAGAGGACTTCGATTTAGCATAAACAATGGAGAGAAAGAGAGCACGTTCCTCACTTTGAATCTTACAAGTTGTGATTTGGTTCTCACTAGCATAGATTGTACAGTTGAGTTCTTGTTTCCAAAAGATTCAGATCTTGTTACTACAGTTTGCAAAAGAGTTTTGCATGCCAAGACATTTCGCATACATTTCAATTTTTGTCTCTTTTATGAAAGGTTCTTGAATAGCTACTAAAGAGACTTTATGATTATCAATCAAAAACTTGAGCCTCGCAGTAGAGGCATGAGACTTCATGCCTCTAATATTCCAATTGAGAATACTAATCATGAAAATTGAATTTAGGAGGTTTTTGTGATTTTCCTTTTTGTTTTTTCACGTCAGGATTAGTATTTTCCTTTCGACCCATCTTGCTCGTTTGATTTTCGTTGAAGTAAGCTCTAGCTTGATTTCCAGTTCTTTGATTAGCCCCATCGATGTCTTTTTGTTTAATGTTGCTGCCATTTCTCCCTTTTCTTGCTTGTTTCCTTCCTCATCAGAAGATTCCTCCGAAGTGTCGTCTTCTTCTTCTCCCTCTGAAGATGTTATATCTGCCCATTCATCTTGGGAATCTGGTTCTTCACCATTGTAATCATTGTCAATCTTCTTGTTGTTTCTTAGTCTAGTTTTGCAAGTACTTGCCAATTGTTCCTCATCTCCCACCATCAACTCATCAAAGCTATTTTGATTGATATCGGCAGCCTGCTCTTCATTCATAATTTTAACTTGTTGTCTCCTAATTTGAGTGTTAGCTTTCTTGCAAGTTCCCACTTTGGTTTTCCTGCCAACAACTTCTTCCCATTCCCCATCAAAATTATTAACAGTGAGTTCGTTGATACTCTTAATGGGTATGGTTTTATTGAAAACTGATGTTGTGAGGCTTTTCGGATTACCATCATTCATATTATTCTCAGTGAGTTCGTTGATACTCTTAATGGGTATGGTTTTATTGAAAACTGATGTTGTGAGGCTTTTCGGATTACCATCATTCATATTATTCTCAACGATAATCTCTTTTGCTTGATCACCTGTTTCATTGACATGTTCAGTATTAGCAACCTCATGTTCCAACTCTTTATCTTTTGATGCAGGGGAAATGTCACTATTAGCCATATCAAATTTGTTTTTCAGGAACACAAGTTGATTGTTGGCCTGATCATGTGCCTTGTTTTCACTATTAATCTTTGTGATCTCTGCATTGGTTTCACAATCTGTCGTAGATGTAGGATGAGATTTATCAACTCCAAAGATGTTCCCAGTTGGTTTATAAGCTTTCCTTGGGGGTTCACTTCTTCCTCTAGTTTTTCCTTTGTTGATCTCCCTTTTATTTTGCATTTCCCTTCCTCTGTTGGGAGTGACTTCATCTTCTTCAGGCAGCTTTGTTTCACTGTTGTCTTGTTCCGAATTTCTTTATTGTTGTTTATTTCTCCCTTGTTGATCCTTTTGTAGGGCCTCTTTCTTTTCAATCTCTTTTATCCTTTCTAGAACTCTACAATTGATCATACTATGTCCAAGCTTTCTGCAGTGTTTACAAAATTTGGGGATATTTTCATACTCGATTTTTTGAGAAAACCCTCTTAAAGGAGTGTTGTCATCTTCAGTTCCCACCCAAACGTTATGGACAAGAGGCCTCAATAGATCGATTTCCACCCTTGCTTTAGCCATACTAGGTCTAGTCATCGTCTTGATGGTTATATCAAGTTCGATCGGTTTTCCCACTTCCCTAATAATATGTTTGACATAGTTCCAGTTATGCATATGAAAAGGCAGACCAGGGAGAAGAACCCAGACAGGAACTATGGGGATATCTTCCTCCGATTTAAAATCCGGAGTCCATTTTTGTAGCCAAATTTGAAACCCTTCCAGCTCAATTGCCCTCTTATATAACACTAAATTGAAGTCTTCATCATTAGGTGAAGGTAAGAAAAATATTGAAATTGTCATACACACCAATTTTGACAGACCCCTTCAAAGGAAATTTTTCTGAGAACCTCGATCTGATAGTATCAATTTAAGGTCGGGACTTCAAGAATCTCCCCACAATAGTTCTTCTACACGAAGTTGCCATCACTCCGTAGTAATCCGAGGCTTTGAATATAACAGTTGGCATCCCATTGTGAGTAGTTCTTCGAGAGATTGCAATCCCTTGTTCCATACGATTTGTGGTCATATTAGAATATGGATATGTCACTGAAGAAGCATAGGTAGGAGATATATCTTTGGATAATTTGGGGTTATAGGGATCCCCTTTCGGGGGATTGTTTATTTCTACTATAGCCGGTAGAGGACCGCTGGCCAGCGTCCCCATCAAAACCAAAGAGGAGGAGTAGCAACTAGTTTAGATTCTAACGGTAGGAAAGTAGAGAGAATTTTTTGAGAGATTTATGTGTGGACGTATGAGTAGGGGTGTCAATGAGACGGTTTGGTCGTTTATTTTAAAAAAATTATGTCATCCCAATTTTCGGGTATTATATAATGTATAACCAAAATTAGATTTTTTGTAAAATGATATCATATCGGTTTCTCTTCGGTATCAATACAATTTAGTTAATTTTCATTTTTTTATTTTTTAAAATAACACCTCAAAATACATTATTATCAATATATTTCTTTCGCAAGTATGTTCTTGAAGAAACACTTCAATTCTTCACCAAAAAGTCAAGAATGTAAAACCTTGTTGCCGTATTGTTTGATCTTAAACATTTAATAGGAGTGCTTGTATAGATTTTGTCGAATTGTTTGATGAAGTATCTATTATAGTCTCTTTTAATTTTAAACATAATTAATTAAATGTTAATTAAAGAGCAAAGATCTAAAGTCGTCCCGTCACCATAGGCCTAGGACTTAAGTTATATTATTTATATTTGAAAAATATTATAAAATATATTTATATATTAAATTTAATATATTGTTAATATATAAAATATATTTACATATACGTAAGATTATTCGTTCCGGTTCGGAAATTTTTCGGATTTTTTTATAAATTAAAAAGATCAGTCCTATTGTTTGGGACTGTTATACACTTAAATAAAAGTTCACGATTTTATTTAAAAAATGATATAAATCGATTCGATTAGGTTCGATGATTTTTCATATTCTTTTGACACCCCTAGGTAAATTTACAAGAGTAACATCAAACAAAGCTACCATGTTGGAGATTGAAATGGAACACAATACATGCAAAACTCAAATTATGTAAATAATAAGTCCAAAACGAAGGGGTAGAACAAACACTTCACTTCAATCGACAAAAAATTTCAAAACAAGTACGTTCACTCTAGTAAGCACGTTCTGAAGGTTGTCAAATATTATTAACTATAAGCCAGATGAAATTAGTGATAACAGATGTTTACCTCTTCTTGTTATGGCCGATTCTTCCTTTTATGTTGTTTAAGTTGTTTTTTACAGGCTTTGGGGAAATTGATTTCTTTAATGTTTGAGACAGAACCCAATACCTGCAGAGACCAATTTATGTACATAATAAGCCCAAATAAAGGGTAAATTAAATACTTTACATAACTTCCGAAATGAGAACATTCACTTTAGTGTATAGATCAATTCTAAAATTGGGATAAAAAAAGGAAAAACCAAGTAAATCAATTTTGTTGGCAACTAGAACCTCAGGGGTCCCACGTACTAAAAGGTCTAAAGAGGTTAAGGAACAAAGCCTCGGCTCCTGTTCAGAGATAAATTTGGTTAGGCGGGATTAACCAAAACCATTGCTTTGAGTTTGAAGTATGTATAGATCTACAAAATGATTTCTAAAGTAGACATGCACATATAATAAACTTACTGATAAAGATAGCAAATATATTACTCACGTGCATGTACGCATAAGTTGTCTTACTTGTAAACAGTTCTCACGAACAGGTTGAAAGACCACATAGCGGTTTGTGTTGCCTGTGTACCACCTCCTTAGCAGTTGCCCACTTAATGATCATATTGTTATCGTCCCATGCATCCTTGATATCTCAAGAATGGAAGACTCTGCATCCGAGATCACGTTATACATTGGCTTTAAGGTCATATTGTGGTAGAAACTCAACAGTATTGCATATGCCCATGAGCAAGGAATTAAGCTCTTGTGGATTTGCACTTGAATAGACGCACATTTGGCTGTAAAATCACTGTACTTTGTAAAGATGACATCAGACATAAGTGCAGTACCGGCTTCAATCTTGTAGCTACTGAGTATAGACATAGTATCTCCATATCTGGTTAAGAGAGTCCCTAGGCCATATCATCGACCCTGAAGATCAGCAAGTTATTAGAAATGATTAGTCCAAACTTATAAGACCCTAACTGAAATAGGAAATAGGTTAGACCTAATAGGCAGCAAATGAGTGTTTATATCAAATCTAGAATATACTGAACCAAGAAAGGTAAGAGAGAAAGAAAGCTAGTTAACTTTTAATTTAGCATCCCTCAGCTATACAAGGTCGATAAGCATTATCTCCACAGATTTGTTCCGGCATTGCCCCCTTGGTGTAATTCTGTTTTAAATAGACAGATACCATTTCTTTATAGCTTCTTCCATTTAATACAATAGTAAGATTTTTTCTCGTCATTGGTGTAACTGAACCTACCTTTCTGCTATATTAATCACAATTCCTACAGTTCTTAGCATAATAAATCATTACCTAGAGTGTTATTTCATCGGTCCATTGATTCTCTTGATCATATCTGAAGCCATTACAAGTTTCCAAAGTCAACCGAACAATCAATTTAAAAAGATAAAAAAAAACCTAAAAGTTTTTTAGAGTACACATCCTCAATTGAGAGTATTTCTACCCCTTTCTCATAACTCCAGCTTTATTTCAACAGTCTACTAACTCTCTACATCATAAAAGAACGATTCCAAACTTCATAACTAGTATTAACTACCATATGACCTATTAATGTACAAAGGTCACATAACAAAACCTACTCTGTCCTTGCAGAATAATAACTACACCAAAAGTAACAGATCATAGAATTAACAGAAACAATGCCTCCAACTAGAGTTACCTTCGGGTTCTTTAAATTTCAAGAAAAACAATGAATATTCGTGACCATGATCTTCAACTGAGAACTGCATTATAGTGATAACTTTAAATTAAAAGAAATTTCGCGACCTTTAGGCACCGCCATAGATGTTGAAGCGAGTCTGGGTAGAGTGGAAGCCCTAGCAGTGAATTGCAAATATACATATTCTTGATGTAGAGACCAAAGTGATTTCAAGAAGATGAAAAGGAGAACTTTCCAGTCTCTCAAGGTTTATTTCTGATAATATAATTTTTCCTTTCAAATCAATTCATTGAAATAATGGAAAAAAATTCAGTTTTCATTTATATAAAAATACTATTAGTTCTTTTTCTCTTATAGATTAAATCAAAATATTTGTGATAATAGACACTGAATATTTTCAGTGATAAAAAATTGTGATTTTTTTTTATAATGTTACACCTAAGTTAACAGATAAATTTTACTTGATATAAGTTTATATTAAATTAAAAATACACCCTTTTGAAAAAAAACAAGACAAATTTTTTTTATAAGTCAATTTAGATTGCATTCAGCTAAAATATGAAGTTTCTGTACAAATTATCCTGTTCTCAAATGATTATTATTTTAGTTTTCCTTCGTATTTCTGAAATGTTTAATTTTTATCCCTGCAGTTCATTAAATAAAAGATTGTGAATTAAAGATTTGAAGTATCCTTATTTATTCATACCTTAAAAGTTTAGAGCTATCTAAACTTAAAACTTTTATTTTTCTCGCATATATTATATAGAAATTAAGTTACGGAACATAAGATAAATAGTATTTTCACAAAGTTGTTGTAGTACTTAGAAACTAGAGTTATGCTTTTTTGGGTCTGTTTTTTCTTTCTCTTGGATATATATTTTGGCCTTGTGAGTCACTATAATGCCTTACTGCATAACTTGGTTATGCAAAATATTATGATAACGAAAATATTCAAAAGAAAGGCCAGAGTTCATTGTGCATAATCAGGTGACAAAGGAAAGATTCAGCACATTAAACTCACATTAAATGTAGGAAAATTTTCAAGTGATGAATGAGCACAAACGATTTTAAGTGCGTCGCAATGCAATTTACATGTATGCTAATTCACACCGACACAAAACATATCAATCAGATTGTTTGAGGAATCCTAATTAATATTGTTGGAGCAAAGGATCGTCAACAAAAACATTATGTGTTGATAAAAAGAATGTTAATAAACTCATTTCACAGAGAAATTGATGTCTTGCTCCACAATTCAATGAAGAAGGATATCGATATCCATATGTAACCTTTTCTCCAAATCCTCCTCTTTTGAAATCTCATCCAGATACTGCTGCAGCCAAGCTACATCAAGCTCGACTTCCACGGCAGTAGAGACAAAAGATTTCATCTGTTTGATTGATGAAGAAACAACATCACCAGCTTTCAGCCTCTTTACAACATCACAAACTAGATCAAGGAGGGAAGCTCTGGAAGCCAATGATTTGTAGTGACAATTGACTGCAATGTCACCATACTTGGCAAAAATGGCAGTCAATATGGGAGCACTGCTAACTTTTACTTTATAGCCATGCACATCCACCTTGACCTCATTATTTTGGCGCACTCGTTTTGGAGTTAAATTATGCTGCTTGGTCCTACAGCAACATAAAAAGAATACGTTGTTCAGCTCGAATTACATTCATTATTATGCTAAGGGGGTCTAAATGCGATATTAATAACTTGCGTTGTTGGAGGAGCCAGATCATCAGCTGCTTTCCCCTGCCAAATTTTAGAGCATAGAAAGGTGTTATGAAATAAATACTAAGATTAAGTTCTTAGATATCTATCGATTCACCATGCATGCTTTTAGGTTCTCTCTCATCTAAACTTCTGTAGCAATTTGCCATTCACAATGATACACTTGAATACTTTTAGAGACCAGAATGGTTGTCGTGCAAGGTGAAAATGACTAATTTAAGAGGATAAAACAAGAACCAAGAACTCACTATTTAGAACCAGTTTGAGCTTCAAACAGGGTTGAGGAAAAATAAGGGGTAGAACAAACACTTTACTTGAATTGACATAATATTCCAAAACAACTACATTCATTCACTTTAGTAAGCACTTACTGAAAGTAGGCTAATATTAATAACTGAAAGTCAGATCAAATTAATGATAACAGATGTTTACCTCTTCTTGTGATGCCAAGTACTTCCTCCTCCTTTTACGTTGTTTACGTTGTTTTTTACAGGCTTTGGGGAAATTGATTTCTTTGGTGTTTGAGACAGAACCCAGTACCTGCAGAGATCAATTTATGTACATAATAAGTCCAAATTAAGGGGTAACTTAAATACTTTACTTGAGTCGACATAACTTTCGAAATGAGGACATTCACGTCAGTGTAATCACTTATTGAAGATTTTCTAATATAATTAAATAAGCCAGCTCTAATTAATGATACTGAAATAAATGTTGACCATTTCTTCTGATAGCGAATTCTTACTTTTACATTGTTCTTTAGAGGTTTTGGAAAAATTGATTTCTTTGGTGATTGAAAAGGCAGAGCCCAATGCCCGTACAATTTAATTTATGTATATAATAAGTCCAGAACTAAGGGGCAGAAATAAATGATATACTTAAATACACAACTTCCTAAACGAGCTCAGTCAATTAATGCTAACTGTTTGATTTACCTCAGCTCTTGATTCACCAACTGATGACCGCCGTCTTATATTTGATCTCCTTTCTCCACTTATCCAAGCATCATCATATCCTTCCTCTGCTTTATTCAAAAAAGTAGGTTTCCAACCTCTTTTCTTTGAAGTTTGAGTAGCTTCTGGATCTACTGCTTCTTTGGTTGCTTCTGATTCCTTTAACGATGAAACTGTCTCTAGAACAACATCATCGTTCTTATGCGCAGCATGTGGTGCAAGCTCTTCCGGAGCACTTTCCACCTGACAAGTGTGTAGCACAGGAAGAATTCACATCATTACTATAAATCCAGATCACTTATTATCAGTGAAGTTACCTTTACTTATCACACCTTTATATCAACAATTAATCAGCAAAACAAGAGCTTCTGACTATCTCATAAAGGACCTTATATCTTTCTCAAGCTAGTCTAAGAATGAGGACAGGTTGGTGGAAAACTACATGTGTACACATTCCTGAGTTTGGAAAAGTAAAAAGAACTTAAGAGAAACATCACCTGACAAGTTAGGATCACAATGCTTTAAATTTAACAAAGAACATGGGATCAAAGTTTAAAAAGCACTGTAGCACATTGTGTAATGATCCATGATAAATACTCGCAGCTGATGCTACAGATTGCCTTCAACGTATTAACAAGGAGGGTCCAAGTCATCTTATTTGAACGGTCAAACATGTCATTATTTCCTTTATCGGAACTGTCACTGTTGACATCAAGGATTACATTTTTCTTTCCTCTTCTATTTTTTTATAGTTAGTATCAAATTTCTTTCTTTTCCCACCTCATTTTCCTAAGATTCTTAGATCTTCAGTTTTTCATGATCGGTTTATTGCATGTTTATCTGCTTCCATTTCTTTGTAAATTAGACAGGAAAAGGAGAAGCATAGAATTATACAACTAAACAATCATAGATTTTTTAAATAAATGCAGCAATTACTTTGAATATCAGATAGACCCACCATAGCTTTAGTTTTAATCGCCTCCCTCCACATTAATTCAACAACTTCTGAATAGTTGTTAAAGGAAATGCCAAGGTCCGTCACTGCTTTTTGAAGATATGGATAAAGTTTGACAGCACTTTCTTGAAGAACTTTCTCTCCCAGCACATAGGAACGAGGTGAAACATTCTAAACCAAAATAAGACGTCATTAAAAACAATGAGAAAGATAAAAGAATAACCTTATAGAGGAAAAGCAATACCTGATTTTCCTTCTTTACACTACTTATGAGGATGCTCACAAGGATGTTCAGAAGCTGCATTGGAATATCATCACTCTCTTTTATTATCATGGTCATTATTTCTTTCATGTTCATGAATACTTCATCTGGGTGGTCCGGCCTTAAAATAGGGAAAGAGACAAAACAGTTGTCAGCCATTCCCCAGAAGAAAAAAATGATAAATTGAGAAACTGGTAGTCTTTGAATGTTATGAAGGAAAAAAGAATCTGGTAGACTTTGACATGCTTTGCACCTTAGCATATAATTTCATTTATGCTGCATTCAATATAAGAATAACCACGGTGAATATACTGCTAAAACTGTCATAGACTCCCTCCATACCATTTGCTATAACAGTGTTTGATTGGTCCAAGTTAAGGGTGTATAATTGACTTGTGATAAATTAGTGATAGCTGAAAACTATCTAATTAATAGTCAAAGAGATAGCTTGATAAAGAAAACATCAACTTATCAGAATCCAAATTTGAACAGTCACAAACATTGAATTTTTAAAAGTTGGCAGCCGGTTCTTTAGAAATTTCAGAAAAAAATAGTGGATGAGAAGACTAGATACCAAAGGAGGGAAGATAACAGTATTTACATCAACGCTCTTTAATATGCCCACATGCTTTAAATATATTGTCTTTGCATGCTTGTAAGGGTTTCAACAATTTGGTGATTTTTATTGGAAGGGAAAGAAGGGTCATACGAGCTTCACCTAGTAGAGACTAGAGAGGGGAAGAAGATTATGGTTCCCAAATGGAGTGAGCAGGACTTAGACCACTATCCACCTATAATACAATTCTCTTAGAGTAAGTTGTGGAGATTTTATACGGACAAAAATGTGCATGCTTCATGGATAAGGTTATATTGACTAATTATGGACTAGAATGGTGATTAATTAACTGGTGAGCGGGTAAATTCATTTGGAAGTGACTTCTCTTCAACATGATTGAAGCTGCTGAAACTGTACTTAGTAGTTGATTAGTGCCAGCAATGAGACAAAGTTTCTACCACTCCCCCTGGTCTTTCAGCCATTACTTCCTTCCTTTTTTACTTTTCAAGTCTACCAATCTTATTTAAGATTGAAAAATCCATCTGGAGCCAACCCTTTGGGCCAAATGCAACCTTCGGAACTTGGGGATGATGGGCCCTCTCCTCTATCCTTCTCCACTTAAATATTGGATTTAGTTCACTTGGGGAAGGACTCAAACTTGTAACCTAAGACACAAGTCCCTCAACCGGTGCCTGTTGAGCTCATCCCTGGGGGCTTAACTCAATCCATCATTTGATCCACAAATACCAACATACCAACTTACTTCATGTCGCCAAAACAAAAATGAGGAAAACAACACTGTAAATCACTGCTGTTCTTTTCCACATTTCCACTCCCATTTAACTAGCTCTACATGTTCTGAATTGGGCATAATTGATTGACCACCTTCAAAGCCCAAGTCAAATCAAATAGAACAATTTATATTCAAAAAATGGCTCACGGAATTTGGTTGTTCTCAGCTGGAGCGATTGTTCAAGGACATGCAACAGCTGAGGCACCTATATAAAAGTTCTTCTAAGACAGAAATTGACCAAGACAAACTCTAAGCCAAGTAGCTAACTGAAATATACTAAACCACCACAAGATAGCACTAGTCACAAGCAATTACTCTTCTCATCCATGAGCGTTCTGCTCTTTAAAGTTGACAGTTTGCAGTTATTTTCTGGTCTTAGTGCACAAATAACTAAACTTGTGGCAAGGACAGAGCATATATCATATTACCAGAAATAAATGAACAATAATAGATAAAATACCAGCAAAGTAACAACCATGTGGTCGGTTTCAATTCCTCTTACCTATAGGAAAATTATGAATGTATATCATAATTGGAGGTATACCTTATACTATTTAAAAAATGTTGAAACATCTGAACAATCAATGCATCTAACTGGAGATCCAACATCAGCACGCACGTTTGGTACTTTGCAAGAACTTCAATAATTGAGACAGCCTTTGAATAACAGCGACCCTCCAAGCAAGACAATTTCCCAAATGCCAAAACTGCAAGCTCAAAAAAGTCCTGTCCGCCAATTGAGCAAGAAACCAAACCAAGAGTACATATAAATACTATTCATGCATCCAAGAAAATCATATATGCAAAACTACCTACAGAATCTGAACCATCAATTAAAAAGCAAAACAGCATAGTTAGAAGAGAGACTGGCAACCAGTCTGACTTCCAATTTCAATAAAGAAGGCTGTATGAGTTGTACTTGCCACAAGTCTGGTATCATTATATGGTTGATCTGGAGCTGTAATTCTAATGATCTCACTCATGGAAGATGCAACTGACACCTTCACATCTATGTCAGGATGCCGTAGAACTCCATCTGTAACCAGTGCTTCCATTGCAGGCTTAATAGCATCTCGCACCGATGCAGGGGGAACTTGCTTCACCATTGACAAAAGATGCTCCAAGTTCTGAAAATTGCATACCAAAAAGAAGTGATTGAACTATGTCAAATACATTGGAAACGCTTCTCTGGATAACAAATGAAATCTAGATCATAATTCATGAGATTTGGTAGAAAATAAAGAATGATAAAGTTCTAAACAAAATCACAAGGTCAAACATATCTCTCTCTCCACAGTTTTATGTTCTTTCATCCATCAGGAGGCCTGATTATTGCCTTTAAACAACAAGAAGTAAACAAACACAGCGAGATAATTGACTGCCAGATCAAGCAAATAAGCAATGTCACAGTGGAAATCCCAATTTATGATAAAACATATGTTGAAGCACAAGAAGGAAAGTTAGGCCAAGTTCTTTCAGAATAAACATGATTGAAGATGGATGATGTTGACTGATCTTTCTTCCCTAGTTATGTGCAAGGAACACGTTAATAATTGCAGTTATCAAAACCCAATGAAAATCAACAAGGTTATGTACTTTTTGCTTATGACATTGAGGAAAGAAAAAGAAAAGGTTCTCACATCAAGTTTCTCCAAAAGCTCCTCTTTAGAAGATGGGAATTGCTGAAGTAGCTCATTCCCAACTTCAAGAAGTCCTTTGATGCATTCCTCCTCAGAAACAGAAGCACGAGCCATGGAAACCGTTTCCTTTGTTCAAAGCACACAAAGAACAAGAAGTGAACTGCAATTTGGAAACTAGGTTTTAAGATGCAAAAAACCCCTAAAGAAATTACAAGAGAGAAAATGGGAAAACGGCGGTGCAGAAAGGCCTCAAAAGTAACGCCAGTACTAGTATACAAAAGACAAGTAAGAGAGAGGCAGAGAGGAAAAGAGGGTTATGAAAAATGGGCGCCTACAGAACAGGCTGCGCACATCTGTCAACGAGTTATTCAAAAACCCAACCTTTTGTGCTGTTAAGGAAAAAACTTCAATGTGTGTGAGTAGGACTGAGGTTGTCTAAACTGCGTGAATTTTCAGGTTTTCCCTCTTAAAATTGAGTTTCAATTAAAAGAATTTGCCAAAAAGGGTATACTAATAAATGCCTTGCTTAGATTACAGTAATCTATATAGATTCACTTCTTCTCTGCCCTTTCTGTGTGCTTCTGCTGTGAACGTATTCCGCCAACATCAAAAGATCAAAAGAAATGTAAAGGTGTAATAACAATAAGAAGCTCTCAGTCTCGGACTTTATTCGTTTTTATGTTGAAACTCATATGAGTAATGTTTATGCTAGCAACTATATCAACTTAAGGATATAAATAGGAAAGTAATCCAAGAAGAAAATTATACTCAGTATTGTAAATCTATCTTGGGTATCAGAAATATAAATACATTTGCAGCAGGTCTTGCAATAGATTATGTAGTTGAATGCAATGTTAGACATTAGAACTGTTATAACCTATTGAAATAATATCCGAGTATGTGAAATAAAGATTTGTTTTCTAAAAACGTAACAGGAAAGGAAAAACTGATTAAATCAAATTTGTTGCCACCAAGAACCTAGGGAGACCCACATATTGAAAGGTCTAAAAAGGTAAGGGGACAAAGTCTTGGGTCCTGTTCAGAGACAAATCTAGTTGGACTGGTTTATTCAAAATCACTGCTTTGAGTCTGGATCATGTATAAATTATAGAATTAAGACATGCAGATATAATAAACTTACTGATAAGGATTGCAAATATATTACTCACGTGCAGTACACACAAGTTGGCTTTCTTGTAAACAATGTTTTCATCACCTTAGTGGCTGCCCACTCAATGACCCTGTTGTTATCATCCTATGCTTCCTTGATATCTCAAGACCATCAGACTCTGCATCCTAGATCGTGTTATACATTTCTTTAAGGGCATACAATTGTAGAAACTCAACAGTATTGCATATTACCTGAGGAAGGAGTTCAGCTCCGTGGATTTGCACTTGAATAGACATACAGTTGACAGTAAAATCACTATACTTTGTAAAGATGTTATCAGACACAGGTGCAATGCCGGCTCTAATCTTGTAGCTACTGAGTATAGCATAGACATAGCATCTCCGTATCTGGTTCAGAGAGCCCCAAGGACTAATCATCGGTCCTGAAGATCAGCAAATTATTAGAAATGATTATTCCAAACATAAAAGATCTTAACTGAAATGTGAAGGCAGCGAGCTAAGCAAATAGGTTAGACCTAATAGGCGGCAAATGAGTGTTTATATCAAATACAGATATACTAAACTCAGTACGGTAAAGAGAGAAAGTTAACTTTTAATTTACATCACTTAGCTACACGTTAATAGGCATTATCTCCACAGATTTGGTACGTGTTGCCTCCTTGGCGCAATTCCGTTATAAATGGATAGATAACATTTCTTTATAGCTTCTTCCATTTAACACAATAGTAAGATTTCCTCGTCATTGGCGAAACTAAATCAATTCTTCTGCTATATCTATCACAATTCCTACAGTTCTCAGCATAATAAATCCTTATCCTACAAAGACAATCAAGGAAACCTTAATCTAAGTAAAGATTGAACCTTCTGCATAAAAGACAAACTTGTAAGGATAAGATTAATCAAAATGCTTGGAGAAGCCCTCTGCAGAAAATCACATAGAATACCACACTCTAGATAACTTCTTCTTTAAATGCAGAGCAGAAAAGAAGGGATTCCTTTCCTGAAGTTGGACATAGAAAATCAATGCAAAGCATGAGAAAGTCACCTTTACATAAATGAAATTAGCTTAACGTGTATCGTCATGGTATCATTCAATACTTTTACAGAAGTTATAGATTGGTTAATTTATCATTTCAATTAACATTTAAATCAAGGCTGATTCATCTATCTACATGAGCATCCCCATAAGGTTAAATGTCTAAGGGAGAGACATTCACTGGCATGCATATGCTATTTCAGTTGTAGAAACTCAACAGTATTGCATATGACCCTGAGCAATACTGTTGTGGATTTGCACTTGCATAGACATACAGTTGGTTGAAACATCTCTGTACTTTGTAAAGAGAGCATCAGACACAGGTGCTGTGTCCGCTTAAATCTTGAAGCTACCGAGTATAGACATAACATTCCATATCTGGTTCACAGAGTCCCAAGGCCATATCATCGGCCCTGAAGATCAGTAAATTATTAGAAATGATTACTCCAAACATATTAGATCCTATACTGATATATGAAGGCAGCAAGCTAAGCAAATAGGTTAGACCTAATAGGCTCCAAATGAGCGTTTATATCAAATCTAGAGTATACTGAACTCAGTAAAGTAAAAGAGAAGAAATCTAGTTAACTTTCGGTTTTACATCCCTCGGCTATACAAGGTTGATAAGTATAATTTTCTCCACCAATTTGGTCCTGCGTTGACTTTTGGCACAATTCCATTCTAAATAGGTAGATTTCATTTCTTTATAGCTTCTTCCACTTAACACAATAGTAGGATGTTTTCTCGTCATTGGTGTAACAGAATCAACCCTTCAGCTATATTATCGAAATTCGTACGGTTCTCAGAATAATAAATCCTTACCCTATAAAGACGATCAAGGAAACCTTAAGCTGAGAAAAGCTTTAACCTTCAGTAGAAAAGACAAACTTGTATGGATAAGATCAATCAAAATGCTTGGAGAAGGCCACTGCAGAAAATCGCATAAAATACCACACTCTAGATCACTTCTTTAAATGCATAGCAGAAAAGTAGGGATTCCTTTCTTGAAGTTAGACATAGAAAATCAATGGAAAGCACAAGTAAGTCTCCTTTACATAAATGATATTAGCTCAACATATGTATATGGACATGGTATCATGCAATATTTGTACAAAAGCCATAGATTGGTTAATTTATCATTTCAATTTATCTTTAAACCAAGGCCAATTTATCCATCTTCCTTAGCATGTCTAAGGTTAAATATCTAAGACGGAGCCATTCACTAGCAAAACCTGTAATAGTGATTTCAGTGGTAAAGCTCTTGCTGAATATTGTGATAACAAGTAACAGGGCAGATACTCAAAGCACTAAGACACTGCAACTTTACTCAAAAGCTTCAAACTTCACTAAGAGTGTGTTTTGTATTGAGGAAAACATTTTCTGGAAAATGTTGTCTAATATTCTCATGTGTAGTTGGTCAAAATATTTTGGAAAACATTTAGTCTAGACTTCTCTAATGAAAGTAGAGAAAACAAGTTTCATAAGTGACATTTCAAGTTCATTGTGTCCTCCCCATCCACCAAACATCCCCAATCCCCACCCCATTAATCATTCAACCCCTGAACCCCCAAATCCCTACCTCATCCCGCCACATAGTGTTTTGCTAGATCATATATAAATGCTCTTGGAATAATATTATTTTTCTTACTAGAAACCCACTTATTTTCCAATAAAATATTGTCTAGGAAAACATTTTCCCATGTACCAAACACACCCTAAGTGCAGAAACATCAAATGATTTAACATTCAGACTGAAGAACATAATCTTAAGAAAATATATGCCTGAGGGAGCACTGGGCATTACCGTCAAACAAGAACCAGATAGAGAAATGTTTCCCAACAACATCTTCAATATTAGAAGGCCCAGATAGCAGCTTTTGAGATATCTAGTGATCAAATCCAAGACAACGGGTTCGGCTACAGAAGGAGAACAGTTAAAGACCACTAAAGCACATATGCAAGCCTAAGAGGAAGCTTGATCTTTGACAAATGTGAGAATACGGGAGAACCAGTCGCATAACAGAAATAGTTGTCCTTGCACAACTGACAGTATTTGTAACCATGATCTTTGTCCCTGCACAATTTAGAAACAGTTAATGCAGCTACTAATAGAAATAATCCCATCAAAGTAACTAAATAATCATATGATCTACATAAGTAACATAACAAATACAGTTATATGTATCAACGGGAAATCCTCATGAGTTACCTTCTCGTTCTTTAAATTTCAAGAAAAATAATGGCAACATGGAATTATTTAACTCTGTCAGGCGCCGCCATATTGAAGCGAGTCTTGGTTTCTTGAACCGTAGAAATGCATTGACATAGTACATATTCATAAGGGAGAACAATTTGGAGTGTAAATGATAGAAAGATGAATAGATAACGAGAACTGCTTGAGATATCTAATGATCAAATCCAAGACAATGGGTTCAGTTATTGAAGGATACTAAAGCACATATACAAGCCTAAGAGGAAGTTGCACATAAAATAGTCTTTTGCCTCATTGGGGACTGGGCTAACATTCTAAATATTTTTGTATAACCTTTTTATAGCATAGACAATTATAATGAATTTGACAGCATCTCTTTTGTACACTTAGTATCTTCATGCCAACAATAAATCTACTTACTTCATAAAATTAAAAAAACTAAGAGGATGCTTGACCTTTGACAAACTAAGAGAACCAGTGACCACATACATAGTAGCACCCATGTACAATATGCCCAAAGCCCTACGCAAGAGTCCAATTTAAGCTGTCCCCTGAAACGTTTCAGGAGATCTCAATAATTTTTCCTAAAGAAGGAAAAATGCATAACATACTTTACCCAAAATAATTCTTCTCCAACTGAGAGTACTAGCCTAACCTACCTCACAAATCACAAATGACAGTGTTATTTCAACGTCCGCTGATTCTCTTGATCATATCTGAAGCCATTACAAGTTTCCAAAGTCAACTGAAAGATCAATTTAGAAAGATAAAAACGTACTAATACTTATTTTTTAGAATACAGATCCTCAACTGAGAGTATTTCTACCCCTACCTCATAAATCACATGGACATCTTTATTTCAACAGTCGACTGATTCTCTTCTTCATAAAATAACTACTCCAGGCATCATAACTACCATATGCAGATAAGACCATAGCCTATTGATGTACAAAGGTCGCATAACAGACTTACTTTGTGCTAGCAAAATAATAATTTAGAAATAGTTAATGCAGCTACTAATTGAAATAATTCCATCAAAAGTTCTCAACTGGAACTCCGTTAGTCACTGCCATTATGGTACTTAAAAGATCTTGAAGCTACTCTTGAGATAATGGCGTGGAACCCTAACAATGAATTGACACGGTACATATTTATGGGATGAGGAAGAAGTGAGAATAATTTAGAGCTTAAGTGATATGGAGATGAATATTACAAGTTTCCATCTTTGTCCCTGCACAATATAGAAATAAAGTATCAGAAGTAACTGGAAATCCTCCTGAGTTACCTTCTCCTTCTTTAAATTTCAAGAATTGAAGCGAGTGTTGGTATCTTGAATCCTAGCAATGAACTGATGAAGTACATATTTAGAGCGAAAGTGATATGGAGATGAATATTACAAGTTTCCATAGTCAAGAACATGATCTTTGTCCACCACAATATAGAAACAGTTACTACTAAAGTACTGATAGAAATAAGTAACCGAAGTAACTTCAAAGAAATTTCAAGAAAATGCAATATGAAGAGAAATAGACGATAGGACTTTCCGAAGTACTTCTTTGTATAGAAGAAAGCGTTCGTCTCCGGTTTGGAAAAGATTGAATGGCGGGAGGTCAAGCTTTACATACCTTTTGGCTTCATAATTTCAATACGTTGTTCCGTAGGACTAGTCGTACCGGGATCGTTTGGTTGAAACTAAATTACGGATTTAATTATTTCAAAATAAATTGTCATATAAAAAGTTATTCTACCTGTATAGCATTTTGTTTTTATTGTATTTCGTTTATCACCTTATTTTATTGTTGTTATAATTTTCTTATTGGGTTTTGCAAGCCCGATAGCTAGTCTCATGTGATGCTCCATGATGTTATTGTGGGATTTGGGCGGTAGAATTAGTATTTGAGTGATGAATTAATAGATTGATTGTGGATTATTGTTCTCTATGTCATGGATTATAAAAAAATTCAAGTGATGAATGTGCACAATTTAATGTGTAACGCTATGCAATATACATGAATGTGTTCAAGGAATCCTAAATATTGTTGGAGAAGAGGATATTCAACAAAACTTTGTGTTGGTAAAAAGAATGTTAATAAACTCATTTTACTGAGAAATTGTCTTGCTCCACAATTCAACAAACAAGAATATCCCATATCCACACGGACAGACTTACTTGTATATACACCATTCCAGAAATCAAATTTAAAAAGTTGATCTAATACATGTTTTAGATTTACTTGGCAATAGTGTTCAGGAAAAGTAGCAAGGATAAAACAGCTCTACAAAAGCTCATTTAACCTACTTAGTCGATACTGTGCTTGATCCTCAACCTCCTTGATGTCCTGCTGAATTTTTTCACCCACTGTTTCAAGCACTTTGACAGACCTTTCCACCTCTCCTGCTCGGCTTCGGGCCTCTTGCAAGCGCTTTTCAGCCTTTTTGAGCCGTTCCTCTGCAGTGAAGACCTTCCTATTCCTTTCTACCATGTCCTTTTTAGCTGCTATAGATACAAGCATGGTAGTCTTGCTCAACTCCATCAAATCCGATAACTTCTTCTCCATATCTCCCTCTTCTGAAATCTCATCCAGATACTGCTGCAGCCAAGTTACATCAAGCTTGACCTTCGCTGCAGCAGAAACCAAAGCTCTCATATCTTTGATGGAAGTAGAGCCAACATCACCGGTTTTCAGCCTCCTTACAACATCACAAACTATATCAAGAAGGGAAGCTCTGAAAGCCAGTGATTTATAGTGACAATTGACTGCAATGTCACCATACTTGGCAAAAATGGCAGTGAGTATGGGACCACTGCTCACTTTTACTTTATAGCCATGCACATCAACCCTGACCCCCTTATTTCCGTGTACTCCTTTTGGAGTTAAATTATGTTGCATGGTCCTACCAAAAAAAAACTTTGTTCAGCTCGAATTACATTCATTATTATGCAAAGAGGGTCTAAATGTGATATAAATAACTTACATTGTTGGAGGAGTCGGATCATCAGTTGCTTCCCCCTGCCAAATTTTCGAGCATAGACAAGTGTTATGAAATAAATACTAAGATTATGTTTTTAGATTTCTATCACTTCGCCATGCATGCTTTCTAGGTTTACTTTCTCATCTAAACTTCTGCTGCAGTTTGCCATTCACAATGACACATTGAACACTTTAAGAGACCAAAATGGTTGTCGTGCAGGGTGAAAAAGACTAATTTAAGAGGATATAACAAGAACCAATTATCATAAATTAATGCCTAGGAGAACTCATATTTAGAATCAGTTTGCGCATCCAACAAGGTTGAGGAAAAATAAGGGGTAGAACAAACACTTGACTTGAATTGACATAATATTCCAAAACAAATACATTCATTCACTTTACTAAGCACTTACAGAAAGTAGGCTAATATTAATAGCTGAAAGCCAGATCAAATTAATGATAACAGATGTTTACCTCTTCTTGTGATAGAAAGTACTTCCTTTTACGTTGTTTACGTTGTTTTTTACAGGCTTTGGGGAAATTGATTTTTTTGGTGTTTGAGACAGAACCCAGTGCCTGCAAAGAAAGTCCAAATTAAGGGGTAAATTAAATACTTAATTGAGTCGACATAACTTCCGAAATGAGAACATTCACTTTAGTGTAAATAAGAAATGTCACATGGAAATCCTAATCTATGATAAAACCTAAGTTCAAGCACAAGAAAAAAAGCTATGCCAAGTTCCTTTAGAATAAACATAATACAAGATGGATCGTGTTGACTGATCCTTAATCCCTAGTTATGTGCAAGGAACATAATGATAATAGTAGATATCACAATCGAGGCCCAGCTTTTAGGTTAGGTAAATTTGTTTACACTTAATAGATCAGAAAGTAAAACCCAACCCAACAATCAGCAAAGTTCAAAAACTTAAGAACCATCCAATGTGGTATAATATTCATTGAAGGATAAGGTATTACATTATCTGGCTGTACAAGCCCTGCAATTCAATCCCAAACTAGAGGGGGTCAGCTGTATGAAACCTATGTATCCCTTCCGCAATTTCAGCCCTATTAAGAGAATCAGTGAATCAACCTACCGCATCCCTTATCTGGACTTTGCCCCTCTTTGCTAAGTTAATTAAACATAGACAAGTTTTTAATTACTAGAATGTCCTGATAAAGAAATAAACCTCTTATAGGAGATGATCTTTCACTAGGGGTGCTTATAAGAATTTCAACTGATGCAAACCATGACCAATCTACATTACATACATAAAAAAGGGATCATTGGTTGTTATGTACTTTTCAATTATGACATTGACGAAAGAAAAAGGAAAGGGAAAACACTCTCACATCAAGTTTCTCCAGAAGCTCCTCTTTAGACGATGGGGGTTGCTGAAGCAGCTCATTCCCAACTTCAAGAAGCTTTTTGTTGCATTCCTCCTCAGACACAGAAGCACGAGCTAGGGAAATCATTTCCTTTTTCCAGAGCACCGCAATTTAGAAACCAGGTTATAAGTCTCAAAAATCCAAAAGAAATCACCAGGGAGCAAAGGAAAAAACGCAAGTGTAGAAAAACCTAAAAGGTAACGCCAGTACTAGTTTACAAAGGACAAGCAAGAGAGAGATGGAGAGAAAAAGAGGGGGTATGTGAAAACTGGAGCGCATACAGCACAGGCAGCGCACATCTGTCAATGAGTGAGTAGGACTTTTAGTGTTGTTAAGGAACAATTTTAAGTGTGTGAGTAGGACTGAGGTTGTCTTAACTGCATGAATTTTCAGGCTTGCCATCTTAAAATTGAGTTTCAATTAAAGGAATTTGCCAAAAAGGGTATACTAATAAATGCCCTGCTAAGATTACAGTAATCTGTACAGTGTGTAGATTCACTTCTTCTCTACCCTTTTTGTGTGCTTCGGCTATGAACGAATACCGCCAAAATCTAAAGATCAAAAGAAATATAAAGATGATAATAGCAGTAAGAAGCTCTCAGTCTCGGACCTTATTCGTTTTTATGTTAAAACTCGGATTAGTAATGTTTATGCTAGCAACTATATCAACTTTAGGATATAATAGGAAAGTAATAAAAGAAGAAAATTATACTCGGTATTGTAATCTATCTCGGGTATCAGAAATAGAAATACATTTGCAGCGGGTCTTGCAATAGATAATGTAGTGGAATGCAATGTTAGTCCATGACACTACAACTATTATAGCCTATTGAAGTAATATCCGAGTATACAAATCTTTATTATTATTTTTTTCCTTCTCAAAAAAGAAATAAAGATTTGTTTTTCTAAAAACATAACAGGAAAGGGAAAACTGAATAAATCAAATATGTTGCCACCAAGAACCTAGGGGGTCTCACGTATTAAAAGGTCTAAAAAGGTTAAGGAACTAAGTCTCGGGTCCTGTACAGAGACAAATCTAGTTAGGCTGGTTTAACCAAAATCACTGCTTTGAATTTGGAGCATGCATAAATATACAAAATTAAGACATGCATGTAATAAACTTAGGGGTTGTTTGGTAGAGTAATAATATTAAATAGAGTGTATTAGTGATGCTTGCATTAATAATGTTTGTACTAGTAATGCTTGCATTAATTATACATAGATTATTTCTTATGCATTGTTTGGTTTGGTGTATTAAAAATAGCATGCATTGCATAACAATATTTATTTACAAAGATGTCGTTTATGATGGAAAAGATGTAAAAAAAAAAAATTGAGGGGTAACTGAGCCTTTAACCATGCTAATGCATGTATTAAATTTCTTGTATTACTAATACCTAGAAATCCATGGTATTAGTAATACACAATAGAGTGTATCGGTATAACTTGCATTAGTTATGTACAAAGACAAACTTGTATGGATAAGATTAATCAAAATGCTTGGAGAATCCCACTGCAGAAAATCACATAGAATACCACACTCTAGATCACTTCTTCTTTAAATGCAGAGCAGAATAAGTAAAGATTACTTTCCTGAAGTTGGGCATAGAAAATTAATGGAAAGCACGAGCAAGTCACCTTTACATAAACGATATTAGCTCAACTTGTATGGACTATGGTCATGGTATCATTCAATATCTTTACAAAAGTTATAGATTGGTTAATTTACCATTTCAATTTACATTTAAATCAAGGCTGATGCATCTATCAGCATGAGCATCCATATAAGGTTAAATGTCTAAGGGGGAGATATTCTCTGGCATGCATATGCTATTGCATCAATACAAAGCTTCCAATTTCAGTGGTAAAGTTCTTAATGCGTACTGTGATAACAAGTAACAGGGCAGATATTCAAAGCACTCAACCATTGCACCTATACACAAAAGGTTCAAACTTCACGAAAGTCTCAAATGTAAGAGTGCAGAAGCCTCTAATGATTTAACATTCACACTAGCAAACATAATGTTAAGAATATATCAATCAAGAACCAGACGGAGCAAATGTTTACCAACAACATCTTCATTATAGAGGGCCCAGGCAAAAGTTTTTGAGATATCTACTTATCAAATCAAGACAATGGGTTCAGTTAGTAAGCATATGTACAAACCTATGAGGGAGTTGCCCATAGACTAGTTTTTCGCCTCTTTGGGCTAACATTCTAAATAGTTATAGTATAACCTTTGTGTAGCTTATCAGCTTCCTGCTATAGCATAGACAATTGTAATGAAGCTGACAGCATCTCTTTTGTATACTTAGCATCTTCTTGACCTTTGACAAACTAAGAGGACAATTCACCACATACATAGTAGCACCCCTGTACCATATGCGCAAAAAACTGTGTGAGAATTGTCTAAAAAAAATCAGGAAAACAGCATGACATACTTTACCCAGAAATCAGAATGCTTTATTGACGTTGGAACTCTGTTAGTCGCCGCCATAATGATGCTTAAAAGAGAGTCTGGGTATGATGTCGTGGAACCCTAGCAATGAATTGACACAGTACATATTTGAAGGATTTAAAGCGAAAGTGATATGGAGACTATTTGTGACACCTTCAACTATGAGTATTAGTACAAGTAAGTCAACTGAACCTTTAGAAAGAAATGGAAAATATGATGGCGACATGGAATCATTCATGAGTAAGTGATAGGAAGACTTTGGAGTCTCTCTCACAGTTTGGGTAAAGATGATTGGGGAACAGAACCAATACTGCCGACAAGAATTACCTTCCCCTTCTTTAAATTTCAAGAAATATGTTGAATATTTACAAGGTTCCATAGTCAAGACCATGATCTTTGTCCCTGCACAATGTAGAAACAGTTACTGATAGAAATAAATAATGACACGAGTAACAAAATACTAGAAATTTCAAGAATTGAAGTGAGTGTTGATATATCTTGAACCCTAACAAATGAATTGACGCACTACATATTTAGAGCAAAAGTGACGAGAAGTTGCGATTTTTATGAAAAGTTGTCACATTTTTGAACGGTTACAATTTTTTCAAATAGTTGTAACATTTTTTATAAGACACAATAAATATTTGTTCACACTATCCTTTGTTCTCTATAAATAGACGAATTTCCTCTCATTTTAAAACAACAAATTCTGAATCTCTTATTCTTCTTCACAATTAAATATCTGTGCACTTTGCTCCTGATGAGTGGCTCACTAACACCATTGTTTATGTTACAGATCATGATATGTATTTTTACAGTCATTAATTTTGCTTATGTTATTAAGAATAAGGATAAATGATAAGATGTAATAATTTTCATTTTTCTTTACATTATTAATTTTGTTACTACGTAATCTTGTATGTAAAATAATATAGTGTTTTACTTTTAATGATTGATAGATTTTAAGTATTATTTATAAATTTCATGATATAAAATTTCCGCGCGAAGCGCGAGTAATTTTACTAGTTTCAAATATAATGATGCTCCTCCTTTCTTTTGTCACTAAAAATATTTGTTCTAAAATATAGTTGTCAGTATATCCTTTTTTCTTCAATTTTGCCTTTAGCAATAATTATTCTAGAATTAAGAGATATATATATAGAGAGAGTATCCAGATAAAAATTAAAGAATTAATAAGGAAATATATTAGTTAAACAATAATATTACTTTCTCCATTCATATTTATATGTCATCTTTATTAAAAATAGATAATTCTTAATATTTGGGATTTCACAATATTAATGTATAAATGACACTATTTTTTTTTATTTTACCCTTGAGAGTCATTAGCATTGAAAGTATGAATTTGACCAACATAGAGAAACTAAATGGTTAATTCATGTTCATTGGCCAATTAATTAATCAAAATAAAATAATTTTTATTTATTTATTAAAAATTTAAGTTCAAGAGAATACTAGCAGGGGTTTTACCCTATGTGCACCCAAAGGGTAGCGGCTATGGGTTTTCCTTGTCATAAAAAATAAAAATAAAAAAAGTACAAAGATAAACTTGGTGATATATAAATAAAAACAGAGAAAGTAATTTTTTTTTAATAATTGTGTGAAATCTTATTATGACAAAAAGAACAAAGGAAGTATTTTTAATTTTTTATGTCTTCTTCGAAGATTTACATGTCCAAATGCTAATCTCAATCAACTTTGTTAGACGTTCCATGAAGTTTATTGTGGGATTTGGACTTGAGAATTACTTTTTTCGTCTCATTTTATATGTCACATTTTTACTTTGCACTTGCATTAATAAATTATGTAACTTTACCCTTCTATTCTTATTTAATATTTTCTTAAGTCAACTTTATAATAAATGATAAATATATTTTCAAAATTAATTAACTACTCTATCAAGGATATAATAGGCAAAATATGATAATTTATTCATAAATTTTATAAAATTATAAGTATTGTGGTTCAGCTATTTATAGAGAGAAATGACATATAAAATGAGACGAAGGGAGCAGTATTTAAGTGTGTTAAATTAAAATGGAAAAAAACATAAATATAGAACGGAAAATAGGACAGGTCAGTTTTCCAATTTGCTCTAGCAGCTCCACTTGGCAGTCATCGAGCAAACCACAAAAATGAAGCTACAATTAAAAGTGAAATTAGTGGCCAACTAAATATAGATTAAATTACGAAATTGTCATCTTGACCCTAAGTTGCTCTCTATTCACGTTTATAATTATTAAATTTAAAAAATATAGAGTAAGTAATATCAGCCAACTTATTTAAATAAATTTATTAGTACAAATATAAAACATAAAATTAAAAAAATAAATACCATGATTTGAGAGATATTTTTATTTTTATATAGATTAATCTGATAGTATTAAATCTACTTATTACTACCATGAAAGGGAACTGGAAGGTAACTAAGGATTTCCGGTTGATATTTCCATAGCCTTGCAACTGTTGGAGAATAGCTATAAGAAATTTCTAAGACTTGTAACTGTAAAATGCACAAAGAAAAATCTGTGCTACTCCAAAATCAATTAGAATCATGTGTTATAACTACGAACAATTACAAGTGCCTCTGAATTGTGGTGATTGCTAAAACAAGAAGGGCCTTAATCCCAAATTAGTTATGGCCAGCTTTTTAACTTCTCTGCATTTCATTCTATTATGGTTCTTTAGCACAGTATTCATCAATCTCACATATGAATCCAAATCTTCACGTATTCAAAAGCACATGAAAAACATAAAAGACAAACGAATAAATATAGGTAAAATGGATCGAAATTCCGAATTGATATTCCTTTTCTGAACAAAAACTATGCATTACTGATTAAAACAAACAAAAAGCACATGTAAACGTTCAAAATTCCCTTAATTGGAAGCTTCTTTTATCATCTTCCTAATATACTGAGTCAAATTCAGCCATCTAAAACTAAAACGGAAACAGAACCAGCAAACGATCGTGAAACGAAAACTGAAATTAAAAACAACAAACAAACTAATTTTTTCCTGTATGACGTGTGTTTCAAAATCACCATGATCCGAAATCAAAGATCCGAACCCGAATAATCAGGCTCCGGAGCCAGAGCCAGATCGGTAGCGGTAGAATTTGCCGAGGACATGGAGAGTAGTAACGAATCCGATGAAGCATAGGCTCATCACAAGGACGACAGTCGGGCTGATCTTCAGACCTGGAGAATCATCGGTATAGAAACGAAGCATGTTGCTAGCGTTGCCGGAGCCTACTACAGCGTTACCACCACCACCGCCCGCAGAGGAAGAAGCACCGAGCCTGCGTCGGCGCATACCAGCTGTAGCGGCGGCAGAACCACGGGGTGCGGTGGTCCCTGGGCGAGTGGTGGAGGAGGAGGTGGATTGGGAAGAAGAGCCTCGCGCCATTATTTGGGGTGGTTGGTTATGGGAGAGAAAGTGTCGAAGAGTGTGATTATTATGATGAAATTTGAGGAAATGATGAGAGAGGAGGTCACAGTGTAATTAAATGGGAAATTAGGGGTGGTTAAAATGACGTATGAGTTTGATTTTTTTTGTTTCCATCCGATATCCGGAGCTCATATTTGGAGCTCCGACTAAATGTAGATAGCACACTGCAGGGCTCATTCAGAGATGACGCTCCCAACATAATTTTCATCATATCCAAAACTCAAACTCGAACTCAAAATATCTGATTAAGGGTGAAACATTCCCAGTGCACCACAACACACATCTATGAGTTTGATTAGTTAGGTTGGTGGTTTTATTTTCTTTACATGAAATAAAGCATAGTGCACAACAAAACAAGATACTTCAAATGGTTTGTAGAGTCCGTAAAAGCACCCCGATTTATGGATCTTTTGATTTGAAAAATTAAAATAAGAATCTCGAATTAGTTCTTCCGACTTACAGATATTTGAGAAATATTAGTAAGGATATATTATAATTTATATGTATATTATATTAAATAGTGAAGCTTTCGATTATTACAATGGTATGTGAGCTATGATTTACTTGAACAAATTACAATATCTATTTAAAGGCCAACACTTCTCTTTTATCCAAATTATGATATATCCAACGCATGCATACTTTTAGAAAATATTGAATTAACATATCAATTTTATTTTATTTTTAGTTTTAGTTTTGGTATAGAGATATTTTGATATGATATTTCATAAGTTACAAGTAAGAATATCCTTTGAAAGACGAATAGCCATGATTAAATATTTTTGCTAATTTTAAGGAGATTTATAGTTCTAAATAAATATTTTATTAGTTTTAAGGAGAAATGTGTAGAGCCTAAATAAAAGGAAATTTAATTTAATTTTTATACTTTAGACGAGTATAACTCTCGAAGGGTCATGTGGTGCACTATATACTTAAGGAAAAAAGGCATAAATTCCCCCTTGAACTTGTTCTGAAAAGTCAGTTACACGTTTAAACTATCATAGTGACCTATTACACACCTATACTATTCAAAAGTGAATTTTCTTACCCCCTAAAACTGACGTGGCAAAAAAATAAAACAAAATAAAAAATAGGCGCGTCTGTTTGAAATTAAAGTTAAAAAAAAGGTAGGATCCTCTTTTCCACCCCACACCTCTTCTTCTTCATTCTTTATTTTTTATCACAATCTTAAAGCACAATTTTTTTAATATTCACAATTAGGTTAATTCCCATAGATTTGTTAGTGAATAATTGTATTTTATCTAGAAAATTTTTGACCGATTGTTTCTATCTTTTTCATTTTTGGACTTTGTTAAAGAATTTTTGATTGTTAATCAATTTTTTCTTTTGGTGATAATAACAACTTTATGGGTTTGGTGGTGATGGGTGGCGGGTGACGAACATTAAAAGAGGTAATTGAAGGTGGTGAAGAAGAAAAAATAGATATTGATAATGGTGGTGGTGATATTTGGTGTTGGGTGACAAAGAAGAAGAAGAATTAAAGGTGATATAGTGATGGTGAAGAACAAAATCAATAGTGAATGTGGGGCTGAATATGATTTTCCGATGAAATGAGAATTGAAAATTAGTGGGATTAGTGATGAAGAAGATATAATTATTAGAGAATTAAAACAATTAATTAGGGATTAGTTAGAGTAAAATATAGTTAACAAAAGAAAAGTTAATTAATAAAGGAAACAAAACAAAAAATTATAATTTATGACATGACACTGACGCATCGTTGATGTGGCAGCGAGTGTAATACACCACATAACGTAAGAGTGGTGTTACACGTCTCAGGGTTGTAATAAATTCACTTTTGAATAGTTAAGGTATGTAATAGATCACCATGATAGTTTAAACGTGTAACTAATTTTTCAGGACAAGTTCAGAGGGGACTCTATGTCTTTTCCCTAAACTAAATTAATGATCTTTAAATCTACCTCCTAGCTGCATAAATAGATTGACACTTGAGAAGTTCTAGATGAAATACAAATAGTAATTTCCGTTCTAAATCTTTTGGAGGTAATAAAAGAGGTATACAAAGATGTTTATATGATTATTTTCCCAAGTGCATTACTATACTACGCGCAAATATTAAGTAAGTATGTATTATTTGGTTGTTAGTGGGTATTTGTGCACTTTATGGATTGCTCGGAAAACAAAATTAACATTTGGTTTGGATTGATTTTTAAAAAAAAGTTTTTAAATCAAAAAATAAAAGTCAAACATTTTAAAGTAAAAAAAATAAAAAGTAGGAAAATTCTACTTTTGATTTTTAACTTTTTTAAATGTCATTTAAACTTATGTTAAATTATTTTTAACCTTGATAAATATTCTTAAAAACATAAAATAACTTTAAAATAGATTTGACCAAATTTTTTAAGTCCACCTAAACAGGCTCTAAGTGACGTCACTTAACATATCAATACTTGGTAAGTGGGTCATTAACTCATTATTACTCCCTCCATTCACTTTCATTTATTACTTATTTCTAAAATAGATGTTTATTTTTACTTGTCACTTTTGACATATCAAGAAAACATATTTTTTTTCCCTCATGTTTTACCCTCAACATTAAATACTTATTCTTCAAATTATTAGTGAAATACAATATCAAATGTATAACTAATATACATTGTATTGTGTATTAAGGTGTGATTGCTAATACCATGGATTTTTAGGTATTAGCAATGCAATAGTATTAATGCATGCATTAACTCAATTAAAAATCCAATTGCTCTTCAATACCTTTTTATATCTTTTCCATCATAATGGTGAAGGGTATCTAGGTAAATAATTTTTTAATGCAATGCATACTATTTTTAATGAATCAAATCAAACAATGCATAAAAATAATCTATGTATAATTAATGCAAATAAAACTAATATATATATTGCTAATATAAATATTACTAATACACTCTATTTAATATTATTTTTATATACTCTACTAAATGAGCTCTAATTATTTTCTAAATTGTATGCCAAGTCAAATAACGAGAAGTTAAAAGTGAACTGAATGAGTATTTTAGGTGAAGTAAATAACTAAAGGGAGAGAAAATGAAGGAAATATGCCCACAAGTACTCTTCTGCCCCCACTTCTTCAGTGGATTCAACGTGAAGAGAACTCAAAAGTTGATCAATAATTCTCAAAGAATAAGGGGGCATACATTGGCCATACCTCATAGACACCTATCCATCAATATTCAAGAATTGTGGAAATTTTTCAAGATTTCAACTTGAAATTTGTTTTCAATTAGGTAATTTCTCTACCACTTACTCAAATTCAATTATAGATTACATATTTGGGAGGTACTATAAAGTGGTAGTCACCATTTGATTTGAATTTCATACTAGCTCTTGAAATAGGTCTGGTTAATTAGGGTTCTTGAAAAGGGGAAAAGATGAAATTATGATAAAGGTGGAGGTTTTGGGTGTTCCTATTGATGGGACAGATTTAAAATCGAACTTTGTAAGTTAAAAATAAAGAATTTACTCCAAATGATTGTTAAGGAATTTGATTGGGTTTGAACATAAGTGATGAATTTTGGGGTAAATTATTAGATGAACCTACGAGTTATGAATGAAAGTATACATATTTTTGTAGTAAAATTGTTGCCTATTGTATGATTAAAGGTAATAGTGGGCTATGTAAAGGCTACACCCTGTGGGTTGAGTTGTTGGAGACTTGTGGTACTTCGATTAGCTAGGAAGGTACCAAAGATATGGAAAGCTAAAATCTTATCCACCGTTAAGGCACAACCTTAATTAGTCACTTGTTTCTCCTAAAAGAGTCAATATAGTTTACTTGATATAGGTGAATATGTCCTTCATTTTCTACATGCCAAACACATGACAATATGTCGAATATGGTAAAATACCTATATTCTCGTCCCACTTAAACTTTCTTGTCTTCACGTCTTACGTCTATTTATTGAAGTCACAATATTCATATTACTCCTTCGAGTTGAGTACTTATAATGTTTCGCATGACCGTAAATGTCTTTACTCGAAATCCTTACAAGTCATATGGTATATCTGTCTCGTGTTATAAATGAGAATAAATGGCCATATCACAGATCCACGTGTATATTTGATTTCATTGACAACATAGACATAAAATAAAACCAAGAACTAACGCTATCATAATTAGATAGCATGATTAAAGAAGCCAACTGTTATACAAATATCATACTTGAGAGTAAAAATGATTTTATCGTAATCTACTTGTCATAGGCCTTGAAGGCATCACTTGATAAAATCTACCCTTATCGAGGGGAGGGTTTCATAGGTTTTACTTGACACACATGTGTGACGTGATTCTATGCACATGATTGAGACTAGACCATTATAGTGAGCCTAAAGATTGTGGTGTACCCACCCTTGTGGCATCATTTGATTTGGAGTCAACAGGAATGTCATGCACTGGTTCCCCTGACTCGAGCCAATAGATGACATATATGTCCTGCGGGCAAGACCCTCATATGCGAGCCCACAATGGATTAAAATTATGAGTATGAAATCATAATCATAAGTATTTATGCAACACATGCCATACATTAACATAGATCACCTTTGTTAGGCCATCATATGATCATTTGTATTAAAATTTCCACAGGACACCACCTAGGCAAACTATTAGGTGATCTAAAATAACGAACAAGGTATAACACATTATATGTTAAGCAAATGGATGTCAAGTACTCTTTATTCATACTTTTAGTTATAATTTGAGTATGTCGATGCCCTGCTCGATCATACGTCATTGTATAGCTACGAATTCTATTAGAGGGTTCATGGAGAGTGTTAAATTATCATGTGTAGTAATAGTCTTAGTTGTTTATTGTAGTTGTTCGGCTAGATGTACAATATTGTTTATGTACAGTCCTTTAATATCGTCTTATGAATAGTAATTTCTCTCCACTTAGTACAGGTCAATTGTATAACATGTGTTCATAGGGTTCTTGGCCACCCCCTCTTGGCTCGGGGCGTAACAAAATGGTTGGAAGTTAAAAGAGAGAGATGGTAGCAAATATTTTTTATATTTTAAATAAAAATAATTTGAAGAGAGAGGTGGGCATGAATAGGAATTTTTTCCTATTTTTGTGCAAAATAGATGTATGGCTATTATATGCCAATTCTTTTTAGGCTTTTATTTGTTAAATATTTATTTGGCACCAATTTAATCTAAGAGTTGTATATATGTGTCAATTCATCTAAAAAATAGACAAGTTTGGGGAGGACCAAAAGTGCACCAATATTGCAAACATGAGGACTATTAGTGCTCCATGTGAAATTTTAAAAGATTATTTTGTGTCTTAACCCAAGAATAAAGAACTAATTTGGACTTTTTCTCAAGGATTTATCATTGTGCTCTGATTAATTGCAATAACTTGTTGAGTTTTCTGGTAGGGTGTAAGGTATTGATGATCCGCTGAGTAATAAACCCAACTCTCAACGAAATGTGGAGGCTAAGCGAATCCATTTTGGGGGAAAATGAAGAGCAGCAAGATAATCTGTTTGGTGACCAAGAAGCCCTCTGCTCTGTTTCCCCTTTACAGGTACTGTTTTTATGGACAAGATCCAAATTTTTTTCTCCTAAAACCTAAGTTGATGATTTATGGTGGCTTTCTGGATTTTGATTGTGCAGAGAGTTTATGGTTTCGCGGCTTGTCTTCTCGCTGGCTTTATTTGTATGTTCCTGGTATGACCACTTATTCAGTTGTTGTAATCATTCTACTGCCGTTTTCAGTGACAAATTCTTCAGCTGATTGTTGTTTTTCTCTTTATTTTACTTTTTGCATGCAGTCAATGATTGTGTTCATCAAGCCCATTAAATTTGCCTTGTTATTTACTTTTGGCAACATGTTGGCCATTGGAAGGTATGCCACAATCTGCTTGGTTATAGAAATATGAATTGTTGGAACTAATTAACCATGCAGTTGGTTGTTGCCATTTTAAAATTGTTAAAGATTTGGTTTTACTTCTACTTTGCATTGTGAAAAATGAATTCTGCGGGATATATTGTTTTGAAGGAATCAAAATGAAGTGAAGGTAAGATTTAAGAAGAAGTGCATTTTAAAGTCAAAATATGACCATTTTCTCCATTTTCTTTCATTTCCCTTTATTTCCTCTCATTTCTAATTCTTGCCAATTTATCCCTATGTCTGGTTGCTAGAAGGTCGGGCTTAGAAATAGAAATGTGTCTCTCTAACCAATAGCAGCAAATTGCTTTTGCATGGAGTTGCTCAAAATTTCCAATTCTTCAAGTATAACCAGTTTTTTAGTATCTGGGTAGATTTATGTTGTTGTATGTAAGCCATGCGTTTGAATTTCATTCATCTTACAGTTTATTGTGTTTTGAACTTGGATATTCTCATTGCAGCACAACTTTTCTCATTGGACCTATGCAGCAACTTTCAATGACGATGGATCCAGTTCGTGCCTATGCCACATCCATGTATGTGGGATGTGTTGTTTTAGCTCTCATTTGTGCACTCTGGGTAAGTGTCTTTTCTATACAATGGATTTATCTATTAGAGTGATCCTCTTCCTAAATAGTAGTGCTAAATAGTAACATAAGATGGATTATATATTAGAGTTCACTTCCTCTGATATACAAGGTAATCCAGTACTCTTTTCTTTGATTTGCACTCATCTTTTTTTGGGCATGTCACAAATCAGTTGCTCTCCTCCTTTTTGAAGGAAGACAATGCGATAATTCATACACTGCAGTAGAGATATCTTCTTCCTTGCCTAGTCTCCTTTCCAAGGTGAAGGTTATCGTGTAGGAGTTCCTTCTTTCTACGAGGAAGTTGTAGTTATAGGTAAATAAATATAGTGTTGTTAAAAATCCAATACAAGGAAAAAATTATTCTGCGTCCCAATATTCTTTTTTCTTAGATAGATAAGAGATCAACTAAACTAATGGTCATCCCTCCTCTCATTTCTGCTTGAGAGAAGATATCTAGAAAGTAGAAAGATATTATTATTATTATTATTGTTATTATTATTTATGGCCAGTTTGACAAGAAACCCTCTCTTGATATGAGAGGAAGATGACTTACATAGCGAGATAAATTTTGTTTAATAGTAGTTTTAAGGTGTTGATGTTGAAAATCTTATCCTAAAAGTGTATTATTTTCTTGCTATGTGATGCAAAACATTGATGTCCCTTTTACTGCCCTTGTTGCTGCTTCACATGGTCCAAGTATCAAAGATATATGTCACTATTCACTCTACCTTGTTGTGTTACATGCATTGATCATAGTTATCTGAAGTACAATCTTTCTTCTGTTTATTGTTTACGTATTCCTGCAGATCCACAGTAAGATTCTGACACTACTTGCAATCATATGCGAAATATGTGCCCTTGTCTGGTCAGTTGCTTAACTCCTTATCTATCTAGCATAGTTTTTCTTGCATGTACTGTTTTTATACAATCTACATCCTTTTTAACCTTATAAGTTACATTTTATCCCAAAAGTAGGAAAGGAGATGACAGGGTTCTAGTGTTAGGATAAAGCTATGTGTTTCCATCTTAAATGTGAAGTTGAAATTCAAATTTAATTGCACAAATTACAATAAGGAATTAAGGGGAAAATGTTTTAACAAATGTCTTATTTGTGGTTAATAGACCATTCTTTGTTGCTTGCCGACCAAAGCTGGGTCAAAAGTATCATTAAAAACTTGATTTTCCTTTAAGGATATCTCAGCATTGTCATAGTAGTACATGAGGTACGAAGGCATTTATCAATTAATGCAAAGATAGCACTCAGATCCGCTCAACCTCTCCGTTGAAGTTACATCACCACTTCAACTTATTAGTAGACTTGATTTTATTGTTTCAATCATTTTATACAGGTTCTTTCAGCAAAACTTTTTGGTGCCTAAACCTGCCTTACATATGTCATGTTGACCCGAAATTAGTTATTATTAGAAAGTGCTAAAAAGGGTCTCCATCTGTGATTTCTTAGCACCCATAGGTCAGATGGTTTTATGCTGAAATAGGTAAAAGAGTAGAGATAAGGGGGGGTTGGTATATTTGGAGCACTTATATGTCAAAGGGAGGATGTGGGTGGGTTTCTTTCGCTGTTTTGATAGGTTGAGGCAGTCCAGGCCACCGGATTGAGGATGAATGGGAAACTGGAGATATGGATGGTTAAAATGCTGCTTAACAATGTTGAGATTCCATGATCAGGTTTTCTTAGTACATGCCAGTAAATCTTGAGTAAGATTGATGAGTTAATTTTCACCTTCAGCTTTCAACTCGTTGAAGCTTGAGATATTCTCAGTAATTTTGTAAGGAATGTTCAGACTCTGACTTATCCAAAAAAAAAAAGCATCTCTAAAATCTGGTTAGTTCATTATGTTCATGCCACTATATTTGGATAACAAAGTCAAAAACTACTCTCATCATTTTCTCACTTTTCCTCACCTAACAACCGAACTTAGCTTCAAAGCTTGAACTGAAGGCTTTAGAAGCTAATTAATGCGTAGACAACACTGCATCATCTGTTGTACCATTTTAGAGGAGAATTTGAGTTAAGAGACTAGTCCAAAATAAGGAAGTGACCAATCTTTCTGTGTGGTAGGCAGCGAAGAGATGGTAAGGCTTTGAAGCTAGTACATTAGAAAGGGTGAGAAAGGAATTGACATAGGGTGGTAGATAGGCAAAAGAGCAACGCCCACCTGCACTCTGTGCAAAACTGAAAGCTTAACGCAACTGACATAGGTTATCAAGCAGCAATGAGAGTTGATGTTCTGTTTCCACCTTATGGCGAATTAGACCAACAACGAAAGCAACCCTAGTTTTTAAAGACTACCTACTCCCCCTTTTATTAGATTTCAGTGTGCTACTAGTCATCGTTATTCTCCGCTAACCAGTTTATCTGCCGTTCGCGATCATGCTTTATTTTCTTTTACAACAACAACAAATCAGTGTAATCCCACAAGTGGGGTTTGTGGAGGGTAGTGTTTACGCAAACCTTACCCCTACCTTGCAAAAATAGAGAGGTTGTTTCCGATAGACCCCTGTCTCAAGTAAAGCATATCAAAGTAGGTTTGAAAAGGAAATACAATAGTAAAAGAATACAAAAATGAATGTCACTATGCCTAAAATAATGGGGAAGAGAATGGTATCAACAACAAGTAATACAATAACTTAAATAAAGGAGACAATAAGTAAAAATAAAATCAAAGAATAAGATATTAAGAGAGTAATAATACCAACATTGATAAGGAAACTAAACAACACTTGACTACCTACTAACCCTTTTTCCTAATTCTCAACCTACATATCCTCCTATCTAGGGCCATGTCCTTGGTAAGTTGCAGGTGTGTTATGTCTTGTCTAATCACTTCTCCCCTATACTTCTTCAACTAACTCTACCTCTCTTCAGACCTGCTATAGCCAACATCTCACAACTCCTCATTGGGGCATCTCATTTTCACATGTCCAAATCATTTTTGCCTCGCTTCCTTTATCTTGTCCACCACAAAGGTCACTCCCACCTTGTCTAGAGTATTCTAGTTCCTAATCCTATCCTTTCTTGTACGCTACACATCCATCTCATCATACATATTTCCACTACTTTCATCTTCTAGAAGTGCGAGGTTTTGAACGGCATCTTTTTAAGTCTTGGTGGGACATCTTTATCACAAACAACATCGGATGTGAGCCTCCATGTCATCCACTCGCTCTAATATGATGTGTAACATCATCTTCAATCTCTCCATTTCCTTGGATTATTGACCCAAGGTACTTGAAATTTCCTCTCTTGGAAATGACTTGCGTATCAATCCTCACTTCTACATCTGTCTCGTGAGTTACGTCACTAAACTTTTACTCCAACGACTTTGTCTTGGTCTTGCTCAACCTGAACCCTTTTCAACTTGGAAAAAAAGAAGACATGTGAAGCTTTAGTTTGTTACCAGCTAGAGCTCCTGCCTTTTGATTTTGTTTTATTTCAGTTAAACTCCGGATCGGTTTCTCCTACTTGCTATTTCATCTTTATCCAAAATCACCATTAGCAGGCATAATTAAAACAGTCCCAGCGTGGAATTGATAAGTATAAGGGTTGAATCAGTTAATTTTGGTAGTTGAAACTAACTTACCCACTGTATTCTACCACTGGTAGCCAAACCCAACTTGTAGTGAAGCTGCTTCAACCAGAGAATGAACAAATTCATTTTTCCACCCCATCTCATATGCGTCCAGTACACTGGCACCCATTTCTCATACCGGCCCATCACTCCTCTTCCTCTGCACACACGTCAGTATACAGTATACTCCACTTGATTTTGTAGGTCCTACTTAAGACAAAAGTGGTGTTAGTTTGCTAGGTGATTCCTATACACTTGATAGAAAGTGATCTTGAAGAGGAAATGTTTTCTTGTTAACAGATATATGCACTTTATACATTATCTGAAAATTAAAGAAACTGAGAATTGAGAAAAGAATTGTTTTGAAAATGATTTGCTTGGAACTTCCCAACAACCGACCAGAGTTATCTTTACTATTTTGCTATATTGTTTGGTTTTCAGGTACAGTTTAAGTTATATTCCTTTTGCCCGTAGAATGGTTTCAAATGTCGCAATCCGCCTTTTTGACACTGAAGTCTAGTGGATTCTATGCTGAAGCAACATCACTCAGTATATTTTTGAGAGTCGTCTACTCAACTTGGAAGAGGTGCTTCCCTGCCGATTATTTTGAAGAGATAGATAATTCTTTTTGGTTTTCATCTGATGACAGACGGAACTCCACTTTTCAAACAGGTGTGAATGAATTCGTTTGGACAGTTAACTTTTATGCTGACATAGGTTGTACCCTCTGGTTTCTTTTCATTTCAGAAAGTTATGGTTGCTTTCTTCTTTTGCTGCCCTGCTCACCTCATAGTTTCTCCATGCCATGATTGACAAATGATTTCATCCCTCGCCCTCACACAGCAAATCTAATCATTGCTGAATCAAATCACACTCTTGATGTATATTTGTTCTACTTTGTTCTGTTGTCTTTCAACTGTTATGTTATGTTTTGCATTTTGAACAAATATATCTATTCTTTCTGATATGTAGTTGCTTATTACATTGGGAATGACTGGATAATAAAAAAGACCATGTTATTGTTTCTTAGTTGTTCGCTTATACTAATTTTTAGGAGGATGCTGAAATGATTATTCACCTTTACTTATACCCACCTGTACAATAGTTCATGTTTTTATGTGAATCCTTACAGTCGATATCACAATGCACCTATACACGAAGATGAAAAATGCCTTTCTTTTCTAACTATGCTTTAGAGTTTAGTGCTTTGGGTTCTTCCATAATGGTGTGTGTCAATCTAACCACCAGAGAATTAGTAAGCTTCATGCCAATGTGATAATCTTCATTGACCTTTTGCATTGTGGAATTGAAGTCTTGAATAGTATATTAAGAAGAGTAAATGTGGATGAGGATTTCTGTAGTTTTTGAAGTGTATTAGAACTTTTTATCTGAAGATTGTGGTTAATTTTTAGGTAATACAAAAGGAAAAAGTGAACAAGCATTTTCAGATAGTATTTGTTACCCGAATATTGACTTACGTAGTTGGTGGAGCGTCAATTTCACATATAATATCCACTATATACAAAGTCACAAAATTAGTGAGTAAAGTTTAAGTTACTTTAATGGGGCGAAAAATAGTTTTGGATTAGTTATACTTTCTGAAAAAATATAGGTACCAACTGATAGTAGTAGTAGTAGTCCTTCAATGGCTGATCCATAGCGATATGTGTTATGTTATTAACTATATACATATGCCGGCTATTGTTTTGGTGGACGGCTATACAATAGTGTAAACATCCCAATTAAATTATGCCACAATATCGACAGTCTTCCCTTGAGATTCACGTGATAAGTTTCTAGGTGTTTTAGTGAGGAGAATAAGATCTACAAAATTTAACTATTGGAGTCATCTCAAATCCTTTAGTACGAAATATGTATGTACATATACGACGGAGGTGTATATAACCTTTTCTTTACAAATTTGTTTTTGGTTTTATACTTTTTTTGTGACTTCTAATTTTACATGCAAGACATGAAAATGTGTGTCGCCTAGTGGTCAATAACATGTTCAAAACTCAGTGGAGACAAAAAACATTAGATGATTCTTCTCATCTGTCCTAGTCTTGGTAGACAGAGTTTTACCTGGTTGTGTTTGCATGATCATCGTCTTTCTTTTCAAATTTGAAGGGTCATAATCAAGATGAGTGCTACACAATTATGTTTGCTACATCTCAGGATCCATATAACCTGCAAAAACACCAATTCCATACTGCTTCCTCCCCAAATATATCACTCACATTTTATACTTTTCAGTTTTGGGTAATATATATATATGAAAAATTTGTTGGTATTATATATGTCAAGGACAAGGTCTCTTATTAAACAAATCAATGTGCTAGGTCTCGAACCTTTAAGTTTCAAATTAGCCTGATATTTTAGTGGAAAAGGATAAACGAACGGGTCCATTATCCCTGAATTTTGAATGCTGCAATTCATAATTCTAAAGGTACAGTCAGAAACTTTGTTCATATACTTGCAAAGCTACAAGAGCCTTTTCAGTTCTAACCCATGATTCATCCCTTTATAAGTTTATATTGTTCAATTTATTATTATATTGTTCTTTCAGGGAAGTGACAAAATAATTTGCCAGTTAAGGACAGTGATCATTTAACTGATATGTACTACTATTCATAATTTTTAATTATTGCTAGTGTCTCACTTTTATTTTATTTGAACTGATTTGTTTAATGTATTGGATATTCTATGGCTCTGCCAATGTAAGTCAACAATACTACAGTAAATGATTAGTTGTATAAATTGCCATATTTTATTTCTCTTTAAATAATAGATTAATCAAAGTTTTCTTGTTTATTTAACTAAAATAATGAAGTACTCACATAAATTTAAAGATCTTTTGAGCATTGTAATTAAATGATAGTTTTTTTAATGGATTCGTTCTCTACGACTGTATTCTTTTTCATTGATTTTTTTTTTTTGACGGATTATTCATTTTGGATCTTGACTGTGACGCCGTTAAGATGCTTCCACTTTTTTTTTAATTCCTAATTGTTTGTTGTTAGTAAAAAGATAAGTTAAGAATTTACGTCAGAGATATGTTAGAAAATATCCTTCAAATAAAAATTGGAAGATAAAAATAAGATCAATGAAGAATTGTCTTGTTTGTTGATAGTAAAAAATAAAAATTTATTGCTAAGTTATAGTTAATTAATACACATTCTGAACCACGCGATTGTGAGGGGAAAAAGACTTGGACAGTCGTTGTAAGTTATAGTTAATACACTTACAACGAATGCTTCTGATCGTAACAAAAAAATGCACAAGCTTTTGAACTTAAGTTGAAAAATACACGGTATTAATAATTAATTAGTAAATGTAAGCAATTAAGAATAATATTTAAACAAACTGAAACCATTCTGACGATGAATTTTGAAGAACGTGAAGGACATTTTTTCTTTTACTTATATGACTAATATTCTACCAACACATAAAAATGTAAATTTAATTATCTGAAGCATCGCCGAATGGGAGGAGGGGAGGGGGGGGGGGGGGGGGAGGTGGGCAAAGGCAAATCAAAACTTTATAAGCTCTATGGGTTCAACCACCAAGGTTCTTAGCATTAAACCCGTTATATTACTAAAGTTATGACTTCATGGATGCTATTTATTTTAAATTTTTACACATAAAAATACTAGATTCAGATGAATTCACAATGCAATGGATTAGTTCAAAATTACCTTAAGCAGAATATACTAGACAGTAGACACTGCAACTGTTCAAGGAGTTGTAGCATTACATACAAACATTCCAGTTTAGTTTTTGCTATATGACAAACTCGATGCTACACAAAATGCGAATGTTTACAAAAAGAGTTAAATTTACCATCATGTACAAAATAAAATTCAACCATGAGCAATTTTGCCAGCTTCATGATGATCATTCACAAAAATAAGCCATGTCAAGATAACCGTCTTAGTGTTCAGAAAAATTAGTAGAGGGATAAAACAGTTGTGGGCTATAAAAGCTCACTCAACCTACTCAGCCAATATTGTTCTTGATCCTTCGCCTCCTTGATGTCCTGCTGAACTTTTTCACCCAGTATTTCAAATGCTTTGACAGACCTTTGCACCTCTCCTGCTCGGTTTTGGGCCTCTCGCAAGCGCCTTTCAGCCTTTTTGAGTCGTTTCTCTGCTGCTAAGACCTCCTTGTTCCTTTCTACCAAATCCTTTTTAGCTGCTTTAGAGACGAGCATGGTAGTCTCTCTTAACGCCATTAGTAAGGAAGACTTTTTCTCCATATCCTCCTCTTTAGAGATCTCATCCAGATACTGTTGCAGCCAAGCTACATCAAGCTTGGCATCCACAGCATCAGAGACTACAGATCTCATAGCTTTAATGGAAGAAATACTAACATCACCGGTTTTCAGCCGCCTGACAACATCACTAACAACATCAAGCAGGGAAGCTCTGGCAGCCAGTGATTTACATTGACAGTTTACTGTAATGTCACCATACTTCGCAAAAATGGCAGCAAGTATAGGAGCACTGCTCACTTTTACTTTATAGCCACGCACATCCACCAGCTCACTGGACACATCACCATCTTCGGGCGACACCTTTGTAGTTGTTGTCAAACTCCTTGTATTTTCGTCTACTCCAGATTCTGAACCTTCAACCTTGATCCCTTTATTTTGGTGCACTCCTTTTGGAGTTGAATTATGTTGCATGGTCCTTCATAAAAAAAATACTTTGTTTAGCTCGAATTCCATTTATTATCATGCAAAGGGGGTCTAAATGTGATAAAAATAACTTACATTGTTGGAGTCATCGGATCGTCAGTTGCTTTCCCCTGCCAAAATTTTGAGCATAGATAGGTGTTATGAAGTAATTACTAAGATTAAGTATTTCAAATTTTTATCACTTTGCCATGCATGCTTCCTGGGTTCACTTTGTACTAAACTTCTGCTGCAGTTTGCCATTCACAATGACACTCTGTGAACACTTTTAGAGACCAAAATGGTTGTCATGCAGGGTGAAAAGGACTAATTTAGCAAGGCAAAATTAATTCACCTGAACGTGAATCTTCGCTTATAACTTCTCTTTTGAAAGTTTTAATTACAAGGAAGGGCTATTTCGTTCTTTCAGAAGTCATTATTTTCTTTCAGATAATGTGATTGGATCTTAGTGCTTAGAGATGGCAAAGTGTAATGTTTAGTTAGAAGGAGATGACAACGTACAACGTAGCAGAACTTAGATGACAGTGTGGAAAACCCTCTGAAATAAGATGACTACAGAAGAGAAGAGAAAGAGTCAATGATTAGTGTACCCGACTACAATTGAAGTAGCACCAACTTACACTATATAACTTTGTTTTGCTGCATGCCTTCTTCTTGCTTTCAGTACCAGGAGTTAGCAACGGCACATCATTATCAACATTCAAAGCCTGCTCAAAAAACTGACACTAAGAATGCAGAGAATATAGGTTTCATAAAGTGAAACACATTTCAGTCCATGGAGAATGGTTTTAACTCATGCACGTTCTACCCAAAACAATATCAACTCCGTAAAATAGGTGAAATAGGATAATACCAGCAGTTCTTTATTAAATAATAAACCAGGATAACATAAAATAGGTGAGATATACTTTCATTAAATGAAGATGCTCAGCAGAAGCAAGGAGAAAGATACTATCCATTAAAAGTATATAACAAAAACAAGAACCGCAGAAAAGCGCCAAACTCTATTGGGGCTTAAAGCACAAAGTACAATTAAAGTGC